GTAATTCCTGCCTGTTCCGTGGCTTGTGTTCCTTAGGTTTCCTATGTTGGTCTCGTGATCCTTGTTAATGTGTTTGTGTGCGTTGTCCCCTTAGTATGTGCTTATGTGGTGATTGTCTTTGAGCTCGGCTTTCCTGTCGCCCATTATGTGTATGGCGTTTGCTAGGTGTGGTGCTTGCATTCCGAGGTCCTTGTTTGATGCTTGATTTATATTTGTCTCATGCCTCGTGCCTGTCGTGATGTCTGTGTCTGTCGTCTGTGGTGCGGATTGTTTTGTGTTGGTGGTTTTTGCGTAGCCTGCCTCTCTCTGGAGGGCTGTCCCTGCTATCTGTGCTGTGTCGGTCGTATTTGAGTGGTGGTGCGTCTTTCTAGTGAGCCTGTCTCTGCTGTGTCGGTCGTATTTGAGTGGTGGTGCGTCTTTCTAGTGAGCCTGTCTCTGCTGTGCCGCTCGTGTTGCCCTGGTTCCGCCCTTTCTGGCGCTTTCAGTACAGCATATTCTGGCAACTTTGTTTTAAGATTTTGTCTTCCTCTGACTTCGGGGTTGTCAGTCCCACTTGTTTCCTGCTGCATCTGTATTTCTCCATCCCTTCTCTCGAGTTGCGAGGGGGTTTCTTCGTCAAAGTTTCTTTGTCAAAGTTATTAAACACACTAAGACATAATCATTAAAACTTAAAGCGAGAATAATTGTATTATCCTGCTCGATAATACAACCCTGGACACCGAAGCCAAGCTTAATTTAGCAAAATTACATCACACTTGCATAACTTTATACAACTCATTGTATTATCCTGATTGATAATACGACCCTCGACAACGAGACGGGGCTTAATTAACATAACGACATGCATTAGCATAGTCGTATAAATTTGCATACCTTATTACAATTACACTTCCCTAATTAGCATAAATTATGTGCGTAATTATATGAATACATTTTTTTAGATAATTACGTATTTTTCCATTTTTATTTAATTTTTTTATATTTTTATTCATTTTTAAAGACCCGACATATACAACACACCCGGCATGCCTATGGCGCAGCTTGTTTGTTACGATTCGTTTACAGGTCACGGTAGATGCAGGGCGTGAATCCTACGATTCCACAATGATCCACTGAGCAAGTCTACATCAATACTTAAACATACGAACATACATTACAAAGTATCCAGAGTAACCATGTTGATTACTTTAGGATAATACATTCCAGTTACTCAAACAATTTAAATGTCAACAACTCCAGTACTATCTTGATGTGTCTTTGTACATTTTCGTTTTTTTCATATTTGAAAATTCAGTTCAGCATTTTGAACAAAGCGTCTCCCATTAAAATGTCAGGTGACACACGAATGCAGTAGCACTTTTGTTTTTATTTGAAGAATCAATGACCTCATCAATGATTCTTTCATTCGGAACAATGTGTCGCAAATCAAGCGAAACTTATTCAGTACAGTACCGTTTCAAATGTATATTTCAAATGTTGTCCATGGCAGTCAGCATATATGTTGACTCTTTAAAGTTAAACCCTCGCCCCGAAACTCGCTTTTCCTCCTCCACTCCAGCAGCTGGGCTGTGAGCTGCTCAGCAGAGTTGCCACTCACTGCTCCTCACGTCCATTCTTATCGATTTTTTTCACACTTTCAGTTTCATATTATAACTCGTGTGCCTAAATTGAGAGGGGTTTGTCACGCATGGTATATTTGATCAAATGTATTCTCAACACTAGTTATTTTCTCTATACGTCATATGATATACAATTGGTGGGTAGCATTCAAGTGATGGAATAAATTTATCCAAACTGTATCAGGATTGTTCACCTGACGCTGGGGGGACGAGCCGTCTCGAGCACACCCTGCCACCGGGCGTCGGAAACGCGCCGAGTGTCTCTCGACTCCGTGGTCTGTACGAGACGCATCTTTTCACACTCGCCTGCCCGTAACATCCACAATTTAAGAGAGGGGGAAAAGACGGTGTCTTCCCTTATTCTTTGGCTATTTCGTTAAAGTCACGCAGATAGAAAATGAAAATAAAAATGAAATAAAATAAAAAATAAAAGCAAAAAACCAACGGTGTTTCGATCGCAACACAAGCGGTCTTCATCAGTCGGTGTGATATGCTGAGGTCGTAACTGATTCTTTCGTCCATTCCTGTTGCTTTATGCCCCCTGTACCAGTTCTATTTTGCTGTAATGTGCACTGATGCCCACTTTATTGAGGGCGATATTGACACATTGAATAAAGATTGATTGACTGAAGAGGACAGGACAAATGCATTTATACAACCTTAGTTTTTGCTCGAAGAGTTTCCTGACACTAATTAAATAACGTAACCATTATGATTGGAATCTTAGCTCCACTGTGACAAAGACTGAAGGCTGCCACGTTAATTATTCAGTGCGCCCGCGAATCGCTGCAGTGGAGTGGTAGCGCCCTCACGTGGCGCGCACCAGCACCGTTCCAGGCACTGCTGGGTTCCAAACGATGTCTAGAATTAGTCAGAATTCGTCACTCAGGCTACATCTCTGGATCAGTGCTGGCAGTAAAATTAGTAGCCCCCCTCACCCAACACCCCCATCTTCCCCACCCTTAGGTGCCCCCATCTCGCATGACACACCTCCCCCCCAGAACCCTCTCCGCACATTCGCGCAGCCCTCACCCCGCCCTATGAGATGGGCGCAGGGTTTGGGGCAAGGAGAGCGCTCTGATTTATTGGAAGGCAGCCAATTAAATGATTGCAATATGAATAAAAACTGTTCAAATAACTAATTAACAGAAAAAATGTAAGTAACGTTGTGCGTTTGTGTTATGTTTTATCTATTTACCAAAACCGATGTAAAACAAGGCGAAACTTGGAGCACCCCCGGGTGTATATTAAAACCGCTACGCCTCTCTCCCTGCTGTGTGGATCAGAAGTTACTTAAGGGATCTCAAAGGGAGCCCTCTGATGCCCACTGTGGGTTGTTCTGAATGTGATCTCTGCAAGAGATTAGAATGGATACTCTCATGACATGATGCTGATAGCACAATCACGATCATTTTAGGGGAAAATACAAAACATTTCAACGTAACATCTATTTAATTTCAAATGTAAAACGTTTAATGTGCAAGTTAATTTAAGATAGGTGGTTTAAACGTTTGTACATGTTTTCTTTTTCACCCCACACTCTTTATTATTTACTCTAATTAGTGTTCGTGTTGGTGTTAATAGTTTTTTTTATGAATAACCTGAAAATAACACAACGGTTTGTTTGTTTTTCAAGTCTGCCAGTTTTCTTATTTGAAAAAATAAATAAGGTTTTAATATATATAAAGATCCTTAAACATATTCTAAGAACTTAATTTTATGGGAGTGTATTGGAGCATTGGTGCAGTAAGGAGGTAACTTACGGTAACTATTTTATGTACAAACTAGGACTGCCTTGGCACACAGCGTTTGGGTTCAGCGTGGGGATATGGCTGACACAAGTCAGAATTGCTTTGCATTATGATAACTGTTTTATGTGCTAGATTGAAATGTTTTCATTCTTTTCAATACTAGAGGTCCCACCTGCTAAACCCCCATTATCTGTGAAATACTAAATTAGAGTCCGGCCGATGCCAGATTTGGGTCCGATGCTGATACCCATTTTAGAGAATCCTAGTCCACCGATTACCAATATATCGAACGATATTTTGTAAAAAAAAACGCAACATTTTAAAATCACTTGATTACATTTTCAATGTTTGAGAACATGTAACTTAAAATATACTATAAACAAGCAGATAAATAAATACAAATAGACAAATCAATAACTTTGTAACAGATTTAACATAAAAAAAATATTCTTGCAAATTGAACTTCAGCTATTTGGCTGTCTGGCAGTGCTCAGACATCAGAATTCACTTCTTGAGGACGGCCACTCAAGCAGAGGCGGATTGTAGCTAAGAAAACACAGCCTCTGTGCATTTTCACAGTGCATGTTGCACATTAACAAATACCTTTGTCGTAGCAACATTGAATAGGCTACGTGCAGACACGGATGCTGTGGAGAAGAGTGGGTGAAGTAATGAAGGGTCACGCACTGCTAATGTTAGACGACCAGAACTTGCTAGCAACTGAAGTGCACGCCTCAGCTGCTTCACCTCGCGCTTGTATTAGAGCTCTGTCTACCGGATCCTTTAACAAATAGCAATAACGACTGCCAAACATACCAGTCCAAGCATCGAGTTTTTGGTTAATTATATAGGTTTACAACATCGGGGCTAATAGGTGGAATAAATGCCGATACTGATGCTTAAGAAAAAAAATATCGTCGGATACATAAATTTAACGCCCCAAACTTATCGATTTAAGACGAAAAGGCGTAATTTCCAGACAGTTTATGAGTAACTTAAATGAATTGGACATCAACAGACAGTATTCTAAAGCACATTTTATCCTTTGCAATCTAGTTTATCCACGTGGAGTGTGTATATTTCTCTATTATATTTGCATCAAGCATCACTTGTTCTGTAATCTGCTTCCTCACAAAGTTGTGCTGTTGTTCAATACCCGCTTCTCCTGGCGCCTTGAGAGGCCCTGCATTGGAGGCGCTGTGTAAATAACGCACGGCGATAGCGCTGACGAATGGCAACGGGAAATGGGGACCACGCTGTGGAGCCAACACAGAGCTGGCGTTGTGACTGTCTGCACTGAGCATACGCTCCTCGGTCATCAGCATAGGAAAATTAAATGATCTAGATTGAAAACTCATTTCTTTAGAACGGCTTTTTGTGTTTAGTTTGTTGCCCTTGACCCCGCACCTCCGATTAGTGAAGTTGGTTACATACGGTGCTAAAGAAGTTCAACACACATACACATACTCTTAGTTCTTTCAGTAAAGTCACGTAGGTAAAAAATGAAATTAATAAAAATAAAACAATAAAAATCACGACGTTTCGGAGGCAACACAAGTCTCCGTCATCAGGTGGGACCGTCACAGCCAGATTTGCTGCATCTATGTCCTCGTCTGTTTAAATGTAAGCACTCCAGTCACCCTATATATGTTTATTGTGTTTGTAGTTTAGTTGTTTTGTTTGTGCTGTGATCAATCTGGGGAAATTGAAATTTAGCTTTTATGCGACATTGATACATCTTTGTGCAGTTTTTTAAAAATCCCTACGTTGTGCAGTTGTCATTTAGTTCCAATTGCTTCGCTTCATTGTTGTGCTTTTCCCTTGTTTTTGCTTTTGTCTTTTTGGTGACCCATGTCACTCCTGCAAATTTGACTCCTCTCTCCTGGTCTCTTGAGTTCTTGACTCGTTAAAAAAAAGACAATCAACAACTGTGCAAGTGGATTCAATTGGTGACGCTGCTCTTCCTGGAATGGGCCCGTCACCCTCTTCTCCTTAGTAACTGCGCTGTTAGGTTACACTTTCCTCTTCCTGCTTCAATCGTACAGCATTCTGTGATCTCCACACACTCGCTGAGACGCACGCTGAGAGCCTCGCTGAAACACTCGCTGAGACACTCCCTGGGACACTCATCGAGACACTTGCTGAGACACTCACTGAGATACTCACTGAGACATTCTCTTAAACCCTCACTTAGACACTCTCTGAGACGCTCACTAAGGCACTTACTGAGACACCCGCTAAGATACTCACTGAGACACCCACTTAAACCCTCACTTAGACACTCTCTGAGACGCTCACTGAGACACTCACTTAAACCCTCACTTAGACACTCTCTGAGACGCTCACTGAGACACCCACTTAAACCCTCACTTAGACACTCTCTGAAACGCTCACTGAGACACTCACTTAAACCCTCACTTAGACACTCTCTGAGACGCTCACTGAGACACTCACTTAAACCCTCACTTATACATTCTCTGAGACGCTCACTGAGACACTCACTGAGACACTCGCTGAGATACTGAGAGAGGAGCAGAGTCATGACCACCCCAGCTGCTGCTGCATCTGAGGTGCTCAGCTGCTCCATCTGCCTGGGTGCGTTCCACTGCCCATCTACGCTGAGCTGCGGCCACTCGTTCTGCCTGCAGTGCCTGGAGGACGCGTGGCAGGTGGCCGGGCGCTGCTTCTGTCCCCAGTGCCGAGCCGAGTTCGAGCAGAAGCCGCAGCTGACCAGGAACGTGGCGCTCGCCAACCTTGTAGAGGAGCTCACTGTGATAAATAAAAGATCACTGCAAGTTTCCTGTGACAGCTGTCTGGATGGTGAAGCCCCTGCTGTGAGAAATTGCCTGACGTGCGAGATGTCTTTTTGTGAGTCCCATTGTAAGCGTCACCTGCAGAATCCAAAATTCAAAGACCATGAGCTGGTCGAGCTGGGTGCCAACATGGAAGCTCGCAAGTGCAAGAGGCACAAGAAGCGTCTCGAGTTCTACTGCACGCAGGACGAGAGCCTGGTCTGCACGAGGTGCGCCATCGTGGGGGAGCACGCGGGACACAAGTTCAGCAGCGTGGAGGAAGAGCACGAGGCACGGAAGGTGAGTGGAGCCGCTCAGAGACCGGAGCACAGAGTTGGGATTGCGCCAGAACTGATCTCTGCAACAACGTGAGCTTACAGATCTGTTCCAAAATATATATTGAAAAAACTATGGACATAGTAATTTCGTGTAAAAAAAAGAAAATGAGCTACACATTACAATGTCTGTGTGTTGTATGTAAATTGGATGATTCGTTTTAACACCAGAAGAAAAATGCGTGGTAAACGCCACTTTTCAGTGGTTTTATATTTTGATATCCAACCGCTCATTGTGGTTTGAAAAACACCCTTTTGTTGAATGTCAATTCGAGCCGCCTTCTAAAAAAGTTGGTACTGAATCTGGCAGCTGGCAGCATCGGTGGGAAATACCATAAAGCCATGAGGTGATGATTTCACCCGTTCACGGTGTTAAGGACATGATTATACAGTGAGAGTATTGAATCCAATATAACACCTAGAATGTTGCGGTGGTTAGACAGATTGATGAGAGAGCGAATGATGAGGAGAGTTCGAGGTTGTGTCGCCCTGGTGAGATGCTGCCTGGGGCTTAGGTAGAGTTCTTCGGATTGGGTGGCATTTAACACAACCAGGTCTGCAATTGTGAGGTGCAATTGGTGAGATTCCCGGGTAAACAGTTGAGGGTTGTCAGCATCTTACCTATAATCACAATTTTTTGTCTGCCTGTCTGTCTCTCTGTCTGTGTACGCCTATCCTTGTAACGCTTTTAACTGACAAACGTTTAGGTTTACGTTTCAACAAAGTACACAGATACAACAAACTAAGCCCCTGAATGAACACTTGCTATTTGTTTTTGCTCTTGGTCCAATCTAAACTAAGAAAATCACACTTTGGAAAAATGTACTCTAATCGTAATGATAACTTTGAGCATGCACCAAAGCACACATATGCGCATGCGATGAACGCCGACTCGCGGTTGCCCCTTGAAACGCAAACAATCTTTCTTTGCGGCGACTCCAAAACAAAAAGATAAACACAAAGAGAGGAAGGTGCTGTGGCTCGCAAAACAAACAGCGGAGGAGCAGCGGCTGACTTAACAGAAAACAAAAAACGATAGGACCTCAGCATTACTGCTGCTGCAAGACGGGCCAATACACTTTTTTTCCTCCTACTAAAGGCTTCTCGGCGCTTCGCGCCATGCCCTTCACCTCGACAAATGTCCTCTCCACCCCCACCCCCATGTGTTCAGTTACATCTGTAGGGTCAGTAGTTGCTACTGTTTAGTGAGTAGATACTACTGTAGAGTGAGTAGATACTACTTTTGAGTCAGTATATACGACTATAGTCAGTAGATACTAATGTAGAGTCAGTAGGTACAACTGTAGAGTCAGTAGCTACTACTGTAGAGTCAAGAGATACTGCTGTGGAGTCCGTAGCTCCTGCTATAGAGTCAGTAGAAATTAGAGTCAGTAGTTACTACTGTAGAGTCAGTAGACACTACTGTAGAGTAACTAAATACTACTGTAGAGTCACTAGATACTACTTATTCGATTGTATGTAGAGTGTGTAGGTATATATGCCTCCAAAATAAGAAAAAAATGGGTATGGGGAGGGTAAAAAAATTGCGGGGGGGGGGGGGGGGAGTCAAACACATTTATAAAGCTTAGTTCAACTTTTTACCCCCACTTTTCAAACTTTTTGATTCAGGCCTTCTGAAAGGATCTTCTAATTTTGTTGATGGACAAATGGACAGACAAACGGAACGCTAGGCTTTTATAATAGCTGAGTATTTGTGTATGTATATGTTATGTTTTTAAAGAAAAAGACAAGTTTTTAAATATATATTTTTCCCTTGGGCAAAGCCGGGTACTTCCTGCTAGTAGATGATGAAGTAAATGTCTCTCTTGCAGAAACGTTAAGCGAAAATATTTTACTATAACAGCAAAGTAAGCCATGTTTTAACATATAATTAATTGTGCAAGTAAACTTACCCCATTTATTTATTTATTTAAAGCTTTCGTCACTTTACCGAAAGAACCAAGAATATTAACCAATTTTCTTTGAAGATTTTTCTTTCATGTGTGTGTTTTTATAAAGACATTTTCTCCACTTCTTCTACTAATTTCAAATGTAACAATTCCAGTCATATACTGCAGCTCTTGAAGCAAAGTTGCATAAATTACACATTTTATTGATTTAAACCCAAATTTTGTATCATTACATATTGCAAAATCAGCTCATAATTTAAAGAAACACATTGTTAAGATGTAAATCATTATAGGCGATTTTAACCATTTGGCCCACGTCATGCAGACTTTGGAGTACCAACAGTTAATCTGAGACAATACATTTTTTTGCAAATTCTGTAAAAAAAAACTTGTACAGAGTTGATTTTAAACTTTAATCTCACTTGTAGATGAAATGCTTAGAAAAATGTTTTGTTCACCTGTGATGCCGATTGCAGATAGGGATAAATGATCAGCAGCTCCTCAAGCCACAAAAAATAACTATATTCGGTATGAGAATAGGTGTTCCTCTTTTAACTGGCAACAAAACAGGTGTTAAGATGTTAAAACACCAAACTGAAACCTTTTACAAGGAATTATGTCTGCACTAACCACAATACTTGTGGTCAGAATGCAAACAAAAACACTGATAATATATGCATTGTCTTTGAAACTGATTGGTCTACACCAAAGACAGCTTTCTTTGGAGCCTAGTCTCAAAAGCTGTTAGACCAGAGGACGCCAAAAGGCGTACAGCACAAAGACAAGCACTATCAGAGTAATGAGAGCTCGGGGCGAACAGCTACATCATGGGACCTCCTTTTGCCAGTACCAAAATATGAGAATACGGTTTCCCCTTTTTTCTAACATCTTAACACCTGCTTTGTTGCCAGAAAGAAGGGGAACATTTATTCGCATATTTTGGAACTGGCAAAGGAGGTCCCATGATATATTTGGTATACTCAACCCATCAGCCTCACGGTCTTCCGGGAGTGCTTCATTTCAGAAGCATTGATCAAATACAAGCAAACTTTTGGACCGGGCTTGACATCGCGTCTCATCCATTGTGTCTGGGATGTATAAAATATATTTTAATGTGAATATATTCGTAGTTTTATGAGGATAGACAGATACATGAAGGAGGTGTATAATTTGCTTATTTATGTTATTGATTACTTAGGCTTAACAACTTTCGGTACTTGACAGATGAATATCCGTAATGCTTTGCATGCAATGAATGCACTTGGTATGTAAGCTACTGACCATAAAACTGTACATAAAACATATTCTTTGTTCTTCTTGGTTCTTTCGGTAAAGTCACGTAGAAGGGAAATAATAAAATAATAAAAATAAAACCTAATAAAATAATTCTCACGACGTTTCGGCCAAAACACAAGCAGCTGTCCTCAGGTGAAGAACAGGTCTGTCGGAAAGACAGTAACTGAATGAACATCACCAGGCTTGGAAGCATATATTTAAGCTGGGTTGGAGGGGGAAGAGCGCCTTGACAAAGGAATTTGCATATCAAGAGGAATTTAGCATATATATGGGAAATGCAGATATGGGTTTAGTCACTACTTGTGAAATGCGTAGGAGGTGGGCGGGGGGTTTTCAAAGTCATATTATGCCCGTGCATTATGCAGGATTAGCAGCATCAAAGGGAGGGAATAGGGTTAGCATTAATAAAGGGAAGGAATGTTAATAGTATGGAGCTGCAGCAGTTAAACCACCACGTAAGAAACTAAAATATTAACGACATCAGTATCATCAATATACTAAATATACTGTCCAATAAGCTGAGCTACTAACAGTAAGTCATACATTACAATTCTACGTCGCAAAAAATATTATATGCCTCCAGCTAAACTTTTTACTCTTACATCACACGGGTCTACCCCGTACTATGTACTGCCATAGACAAACCCAACATTAAATTATATATTGTATTGCTATACACCTTAGACTATACCTTGTCATATTACACTATGTATTATTCTACCCACCCTACTATATACCACACTGCTGTATATTCACTAAACAATTACGATACTATATATTACCTTATACATTATATTAAACATTACACTTTTATACTATTTATTATTATTATACAATCTGCTATACACTATACCATTGACCGTCACGTGAAAGGTACTAAGAGGAGACAATGAAATATGTCAGTGGGAGAGTGGTGGTAGGAGACTTGCAGCGGAGCAAAGAATCCAATCCCTGCGGAGAATAAAATATATATAGTCAATTCTAGATTTGAAGCTTTCGTGACTTGAAGGATTCATATTCTTAGGTTTTTTCGGTAAAGTCACGTAGGTAAAAAATTAAAATTTATAAAAGTAAAATAAAAAATAAAATAAAAATCACGACGTTTCGAAGGCAACACAAGCTTCCATCTTCAGGTGGAACCGTCACAGCACGATAGCAGTATCAAGTGAGATAAATTCCAAGGAAACAGTATTTGTATATATACTGGTTGAGGGTGGGAGGAGCCAAGGTAGGCCCTGAATATTATTTTTGTAAGGTTCGGTGTGGCTGAAGCACGCTGTTAGGAATGAGCCTTTGTTGTGTAAACTAGGTGCGGATGATGTAAAGGTGCATGTAAAAGGGACTGAGCGTTTTTGTTATGTAGAGATGATGCGGCTGAAATCGCTGCCAGGAAATGATTCTTTGTTGTGTAGAATGGTTGACTGAACCTATTGTTATGTAGAGGTGGTGCAGCTGAAATTGCTGCCAGGAATGCTCCAAATATGTGTAGTTAATTTTTTTTTGCATGGTTAATAACATCTTTCCAATGATTACTAAGTTTGTACCCATCATCACGGTTGAAATTATGTCTGTGTTTGTATATTTGGATGGCCTCGTGTACAAACATATGTTGGTAGCCAGGAGGCTTGCAGAGCACCTTAGTCTCGGAAAAGACAATTTCATGAGAGCCCACAGCGTTGTAGCAATGATCGGCAACGGCGGAAGAAACTGAGTTGCAGTTGTAGTGATTGCTACATTGGAGAAACGAAACGTCATATCTCTGATCGTGTCCGCGAGCACAAGTCAGATCTGAAACACGCCAAAACTGATTCTTCAGACCTGTTCTTCACCTGAGGACGGCTGCTTGCGTTGTGGCCGAAACGTCGTGAGAATTATTTATTATGTTTTATTTTTATTATTTTATTATTTCCCTTTTACGTGACTTTACCGAAAGAACCAAGAAGATGAATCCCTGCAGTTACGAAAGCTTTAAATCGAAATATTCTTTGTTCTTTCGGTAAAATCACGTAGATAGAAAAGAAAAAGAAAATGTAAATTAATTAATTATATTTAAAAATAAAAGAAAAAACCCACGACTTTTCGATTGCAACACAAGCAGTCTTCATCATCATTTTTTCATCAATTGTTTTGCTTTTATTTAAAAAAAATTATATCTATGTGACTTTACCGAAAGAACCAAGAATATGAATCCCTGCAGTCACGAAAGTTTTAAGTCAAAATGTAAATATGACATTTAAATTTATAAATATTTACTTTATATGTACATTTTAAAAATAACAAATGCAGTTATTATATCTGTCGAACAGTGGAGAGGCAACGGGTGCTGCTGATGATGCGAGTATTGAGCACGTTTGTTCTTCTACCCCACGCAGGAGGAACTCAGACTCGAGAAGACGAGGAGAGAGGAGAACAAGAAGATAGGAGCGTCACATACTCAGTCGCTGAAGGACGACTACCGGCGCATGCAGGTAGAAAGCGAGGCGACAGCTTCACGATTCCCTCTTGTAATTTGCCTGTGAAGTGTATTAAATTGAATCCCATTCTAATCAACGATGCATTTAATTTCCTCCAAGCTCTCACAATGTAAGTCGACTGCCTCTTTGTACAGAGTATAGAGACAAAGCGGTGTTGAGATGCTCTATGATATAGTAGTAGGTTTTTACCCTTTTAAACTGGTACAAAACTGACACCTTTATTCAAGGCATCATGTTTGCAATAACCACAACACAAGTAGTCAAAAAAGCAAACAAAAAGAAGCAACTCTGATAATGATAATAATATGCACTGTCCTTGAAGTTGATTGGTCCATACCCGAGACGGCTTTCTTTAGAGCCTAGTCCCCATTGGTGTTAGACCAGATGACACCAGAAGGCGTACAACTCAAACACAGTGCAATATCAGAGTATTGAGAGCTCGGGGTAAGCATTTACTCTATGAGATCTCTTTTACCAGTGGCAAAATATAGTAGTAGGTTTTTACCCTTTTAAACTGGTAACAAACTGACACCTTTATTCAAGGCATCATGTTTGCAATAACCACAACACAAGTAGTCAAAAAAGCAAACAAAAAGAAGCAACTCTGATAATGATAATAATGTGCACTGTCCTTGAAGTTGATTGGTCCACACCCGAGACGGCTTTCTTTAGAGCCTAGTCCCCATTGGTGTTGGACCAGATGACACCAGAAGGCGTACAACTCAAACACAGTGTAATATCAGAGTATTGAGAGCTCGGGGTGAGCATTTACTCTATGAGATCTCTTTTACCAGTGGCAAAATATAGTAGTAGGTTTTTACCCTTTTAAACTGGTACAAAACTGACACCTTTATTCAAGGCATCATGTTTGCAATAACCACAACACACGTAGTCAAAAAAGCAAACAAAAAGAAGCAACTCTGATAATGATAATAATATGCACTGTCCTTGAAGTTGATTGGTCCACACCCGAGACGGCTTTCTTCTTTTTGTTTGCTTTTTTGACTACTTGTGTTGTGGTTATTGCAAACATGATGCCTTGAATAAAGGTGTCAGTTTTTGTACCAGTTTAAAAGGGTAAAAACCTACTACTATATTTTGCCACTGGTAAAATAGATCTCATAGAATAAATGCTTACCCGAGCTCTCAATACTCTGATATTGCACTGTGTTTGAGTTGTACGCCTTCTGGTGTCATCTGGTCCAACACCAATGGGGACTAGGCTCTAAAGAAAGCCATCTCGGGTGTGGACCAATCAACTTCAAGGACAGTGCATATTATCATTATCAGAGTTGCTTCTTTTTATTTGCTTTTTTGACTACTTGTGTTGTGGTTATTGCAAACATGATGCCTTGAATAAAGGTGTCAGTTTTTGTACCAGTTTAAAAGGGTAAAAACCTACTACTATATTTTGCCACTGGTAAAAGAGATCTCATAGAGTAAATGCTTACCCCGAGCTCTCAAGACTCTGATATTGCACTGTGTTTGAGTTGTACGCCTTCTGGTGTCATCTGGTCCAACACCAATGGGGACTAGGCTCTAAAGAAAGCCGTCTCGGGTGTGGACCAATCAACTTCAAGGACAGTGCATATTATTATCATTATCAGAGTTGCTTCTTTTTGTTTGCTTTTTTGACTTCTTGTGTTGTGGTTATTGCAAACATGATGCCTTGAATAAAGGTGTCAGTTTTGTGCCAGTTTAAAAGGGTAAAAACCTACTACTATATTTTGCCACTGGTAAAAGAGATCTCATAGATGCTCTATGATGTCACATCGCACTGTCTTAAATGATGAGCGATTCTATAACGCGTCATCGTATCTCTGCATAGGAATCTCTGCATGGGGTCAAGGAGCGGATCACCCGAGAGTTTGAGCGCAGGAGGGAACAGCTGAGGGAGGAGGAGAGGGAGGCGCTGGAGCGCGTGGACGAGGAGGGCCACTCCGTGCTGTCCCGCATCCAGGCGGACATCGATCACTACGAGAGCAGAGCACGCGGCCTGGAGCAGGAGATCAACAAGCTGCTCGCTGTCTTCAACGTGCAGGACCCACTCGCCTTCCTGCAGGTGGCACCACCTCCATTTACTCATAGCCTTAGTTTATCAATAACCAGAAGAAGGTCACCTACCACTCTGGGAGACGTTGACGTTGTCGGCAATTTATTTCAGTATCTTTCGATGTGGGGGGAAGCGGTGGTGTCCAGAAATAGATGCAACTTTGCTTCAATGCGACACTCAGACCTGGACTGGTTCAGTAAAAGTTCACCATATTCAGAGATCAAATACGTTAGTTTTTGAACATCATTCAAGCATTTATTTATGTGCTGGACTAGAGTGCTTTGTCATTTGTAGAGCTTTGTTCATGTCCAGGTAAAACAACTATAGTTTCATAATTCTCCGTTTGCAGGTATTTGTTAATTTTCTGATGGGACATCTGTTTAGGTTGTCAATGTTAACATAAAATGTGGGTTTGTGTTTTTCAGGATCCTGTGCATGAGAATCTCAGGTCAGTACCAACCCAGACTCAAACTCGAGCTCTGTCTGTCACTTGGTGGAAAAATAAGTGAACGATCGTGATGTGCTTCTTAATAAATGCCATTGCATGCAGTTGTGTCCAATATTGTCTATGTGTAGAGAGACCTCGACCCTCCTTACACTTTGTGTGCCCAGTTATGTGTATGTAGAGAGATATGGACCCTAATTAGACTCTGTGTTTCCCGTGCTGTGTGGAGTGTTGAGGTTACCGTGCTGTATTCCGAACCCGACAAGCCGAGTTCGACTCCCGCTGACGGCCAACACCAGTGACAATTATATGAACGTGTCATGGCCCTCCGCTAGGTCGACTCAGCCCCAAATAGGTACCTGGTGCAGTATGTAAACCTCGCCATTGGGGAGACAAACAGGCGTGGTTCGTCTACTAGGGGCATTGAGGCGCTGCCTTACCAAGCAGCTGGAGATGAGAAAGAAATTTTCGAATAAAAAAAATACTTTGCTATAAATTTTTTGTTGTGTTTAATACATTCGAAATATAAATATTTTTTCAAGGTGAATTGCCTAACGAAGATACCATTTTAAGTTGTCTATATTATAACCCACTGCAACACAGTGATTTGTGCCTCGGGGATGTTTCGGGGCGGCGATAAAGGTGCCCAAATAAGAGATATTCCTTCATGCATTGTGATTAGCTTGGCATTTTAGCCACGCCGTTTGAGACCCATTCAGGGCAGTGAAAAAGGCGCCCATGGCTGTAATGACGATGTCACAACGTAATTTTCACTGTACAAATATAGCAGGTCATGGCCTACACGCTTTAAGCTTTTGGCAGCGTCGAAGGGGTTGTGTAGTGTGGACTTGAGGGTCATGGGGACAGCATTTGAGTGATTTGTTGTTTTGTTTCATATTGTTTATAAATGCCTACCGATGGTAGATTAAATTGTTATATCACTTTCACGGGAAGGCCATTAACATGACGAGATGTTTTAAATTAAAACTCCATTATTTCAGAGGTCACTCAAAACAGTCCCACCTAATCGAAATGTCACAAGCCGCCACTGGAGACAAGGGCGGCCGAGCGTGGTGCTGGTAACCCACCCCCTCGTGTGCAGTGGCGGCCTTAACAGGTGCTTGCTTACAGCACTTTCCTCAGCAATCTGCTAAGGCTAAGTCTTTGTAAAGAGACATGAACCCTCATTAGAATGTGTGTCTCGTGCTGCGTGCATAGTGACGTAGTTTAGTGATGATTACATTGAAGGTGGAAGGGTTACTAGCCCCTCGCAACCGTCTAGAGCTCCCATTGGCTGTTGTAGTTGCTATAAACGTCATGGGGTTGGCATTGTTCCCCAACTCCTCCCAATGCTAAGGGGAAATGGGCGAGGTTTTGGACTGTGGCTCATGCAGCTACAATGGCTGCTTTGGGTACGTGGTATAAATATGTCCAGAGACCCTGGCTGACAGAAAAGGTTTTTCAGCTGGCTGAGAAAAAGCGACAGGCCCACTCCCACCGTCGACAGCATCCCACGTCGGAGGATGAGGGGGCTTACTGCAGATTTGGCTCGGAAGTTGCAGTGCCACACCTATCACCATTCTGAGGGTAAAGAAAGGTAATCTGATCTCTGACCACCAGGAACAAGTTTGGAGATTTGCAGAGCGTTTTTGTGAGGTCTTGGGGAGGGGAAATCCCTCAGTCCAGAAAACATTGTGAGGAAAAGTGGGGAAGGCGCTGCTGGAACTGTGGTGCCTCAAATCTTTGAATAAGTAGTCTCCCCCTGTGAGTGGCTGGTTGAATTGCATCTGTTGAGCGAGTACGGAAGGCAATCCAGAGTCTGAGACCAGGAAAAGTACCAGGCAGAGATGATCTCCCAAGCGAACAGCTGAGGGAGGGTGGCGTTTCGGTGCCCACTGCCCTGTATGACATCATAATAACAGTCTGCACCACTGGACAGGATCTGTAGGATTAGAAGGATGACCTGGTGGTATCCCTCTTTCAGAAAGGGGACCGCACAGACTGTAAAAACTACAGGGGCATCTATCTCCTCAGTGTGCCAGGAAAGGTCCTGGCGGAGATGATTCAACATTACCTTGCCAAGCACGCTGATGATAGGCTTGCAGTGCCCAAATGTGGTTTCAGTCCAGGGTGGTCCTGCACAGATGTCATATTTTACGTCCGTCTGCTACAGCAGGGGTGTAGGGAATTCTCACAGGACCAACATCTCTGACCTGGTCAAGGTCTATAATACCATAAATAGGCCTGGGCTCTGGGTTGTTCTTAGTGCTTTCAGAGTCCCTGACTCTCTGGTCACAATGATTAAGGACCTTCGTGATGGTGGTCAGGCTCGGGTCAAGCTACGTGGCCGGGAATCAAAGCCATTTCCTGTTCACCTTGGGGTGCGACAGGGATATCCTCTGGCACCTATATTATTTAACATCTTTTTCGACCACGTAGTTGGACAAGCTTTTCATGCCTTTACGGGAGGATTTTTCATCTGGTACAGATACAATGGGAGGTTGATCGATGCTTAGGTGCGGTTGAGCAATGGCTGCTGCTGAACCTGGAGCGTGCTACTCAGAGGTGGGGCTTTACCCTCAACCCCTCAATAACTAAGCACCTACTTGTGTATTTTATCATCAAACACTCCACTCCATCAACTCTCCATTGATGAGGTAGTTGTGGATACAGTGGAGAGGTTTCCATACCTGAGCAGTGTGCTAATGACCAGCTCTGGTTTGACAGCAGAGGTCTCAAGTCGAGCAGAATTATATTTTCATTGGCTGCATAACGCTGCCTGGAAGCTCCCTGGTCTGTCGCTCCCCACGCAGTTTAATTCTAGATTTGAAGCTTTCGTGACTGCAAGGATTCATATTCTTAGGTTTTTCGGTAAAGTCACGTAGGTAAAACATTACAATTAATAAAATAAAATATAATAAAAATCACGACGTTTCGGAGGCAACACAAGCTTCCGTCTTCAGGTGGAACCGTCACAGCCACGACAGCTGTATCAAGTAAATGAGAGATTGCAGGAGCTACCACTCCGTTTATATAATGGTTGGAGAAGGGGGGGGGGGGGTAAGGGCCAAGTCATCACGGTTACAAACTGAGTAATCATTGGAAAGATGTGATTAACCATACAAAAAAGATTTAACTACACTTATTTGCCAATCTTATTTGACAGACAACTATTACAGGTTTACCATGTTTAGTGGTTGTCTCCTTGTCACAGTTTGAGTCACAAACCGTACCTCTCCATAATAAAGGCTCACCCTCTTAAGCCTCACCTTACCATATTAATAAAAAGTGTGCTGCACTTGGCCCTTACCCCCCCCCCCCCTTATCCAACCATTATATAAACGGAGTGGTAGCTCCTGCAATCTCTCATTTACTTGATACAGCTGTCGTGGCTGTGACGGTTCCACCTGAAGACAGAAACTTGTGTTGCCTCCGAAACGTCGTGATTTTTATTTTATTTTACTTTTATTAATTTTAATGTTTTACCTACGTGACTTTACCGAAAAACCTAAGAATATGAATCCCCACGCAGTGTCGGGTCTTCTCGGCTATGGTCGTGCCCTTTCTTCTCTATTCTTGCGAAACATAGACCCCCCTAATAAAACATCCTCGCCGACTATAAGCATTCAGGCTGGATTGCCTATGCTCCATCCTGGGTTTAACTAGGCTTTAATTTGGGAGGAGCACACAGATCCTCGAAAGATTTTGACAGAGTCCCATCGGTGAGCTCCTCTGGCAGGCAAGGCTGCGTTGGCTGGGTCATGTAGCCCGTATGCCCAGCCACCACATGCCCAAATAGCTTTTGTTTGACTGAATAGAGGGGACTAAATAGGCGTGGAACGGCCTAGAGAAGAAATGGAATGGCGTGGCATGAGTGGATATGGAGCTGAGTGGACTTGCCAATAACTAATACCAGCGGTGTCAAGATGGGCCTTTGTGGAACGCGGATTGTGAAGGATGCTACTAGGCAGTTGGAGTCAGATGCCCTCCAGCGGAAATGGAGGGCAAAGGATCGATGCTCACAACAATGTGTGAAGCGCCGGGCAGCTATAAAACAGCAAATTAGCATAATGAGCACAGGTGGACCATTGGCTAATCATCTGAATCATCAACCCATGGCACATGGGTCTGTCCAGTGACCTCCTGCCAGTGGACGTTTGACACTTCATGAGGCTTTAAAGGGCATATACCCTGGCACAAGCACGATAGTGACATCACCACCACTTAAGTGCTGAATGGCCGTTGTTGTTGTGTAGGGATTTGGACCCTCATTCGACATTGTGCCACATGATATGTGTAGAGGGACATGGGCCCTTATTAGACTGTACATGTGTCCCGTACTGTGAGTGCAGGAGCAGCTCGGTCTCTCAGGGGACTCAGGATAACCCTGCCCCCGTGTCCATCCGCCTGAACCTTGCAAAGGCCATTTCAGTGGGAGGCATCCCAACGAATCTTCTGGCTGTTGTGTGTAGGTTTCTCTGCTTCACTGATAGCTGTTGCCCCATTAACAACAAACACAAGATCAGCACCACGAGGCAGGCCTGTATCGTGTATTTAAGCCACTGGGCAGGGAGACGTCGCGTGGATTCAGTGAGAAATGCAGTCACTCAGGTGATGGTTGAAAATTTGAAGATAACAATGAGAGCCTCAGTCATCAATAGGTACATAAAGTAGTGGGAAAGTGTTTCTTGGAGCAAAATGTTATTTGTCTACACATACAAGTGTAATGACCAAGGCAACAGACCACTTACCTGACGTAACATACGTGCAAATAGACAGTCAGGAATTCAATCAAGGGTTCTAATTGTTGCAGGGAAGCCTCAAAGACGTTTGGTGAAGCTAAGAGATTCAAAGGCATTGGAGGCGAGATTCAAACGTAACAGGCATGGAATACGTGTGACTGTATGGATGACGGTTGACAACCATTGGAGGAGATCGAGGATTGGCTGGGGGAAATGGGTTGAGCGAAGCTTCCAAAAAGGGTGGTCGAAAGATTTAAAAGGTCGATAGCACAAGAGGAGGGGACGGTTAAAGAGAAAACGAAGTTCAAGCATTAAGAACCAATAGCCTGGTCCGAGAATTAGTGTTGTGTCCAAAATAAAGGCTCTTAGTAAAGCAAGAAAGCTTGTCGGCGTCACTACACTAGTATCCATTAGTATGTATGTATACCTAAAAATATTCGTTAGAATTTGTGTACACATAATAACAAGCGTTTGTAATATATGTTATAATCAATGTGAATTTGTTACGTACTTTTATTGTTTATTGCATTATTGCAATAACATAAATGATAATGCCATACACAATGTGTATTTGTAAACAGCACATGTAGTGCTTGTGTTGCTACTGTGCATGCGTTGCTGTGACTGCGACATCGATCGTCTTCACTGTTGTTACCACAGATGGACGGTCACCGACTCTGGACACAAACTCAGCCCACAACAAACTCCAGATTTCCTCAGATCTTAGGACGGTGACACTGAGTGGTTTCTCGCAGGGTCGCGCCGATCACCCACACCGGTTTGATAGGAAGTTACAAGCCCTGTGCTATGAGAGCTTCTCGTCGGGTCAGCACTACTGGGAGGTGAACGTGGAGAATGTGCAGCGGTGTCGGATTGGAATCGCATATGGGACGATCCCACGGAGCGGGAGTGGTATTGAGTGCCTCTTGGGAGGGAGTGACATCTCCTGGAGTCTACGGAAATATAACAGCAGCTTTTCAGTGTGGCATGGCGGGGTAGAGACCTCACTGATGGTGCCGGAGCCTCCACGGAGAGTCGGGGTTCATCTGGACTGGGAAGCGGGGCTCCTGTCGTTTTACAGCGCCGACTCCATGGCACTGTTATACTCTGTTCACCAAACTTTCACTCAGCCCCTACATCTTGGGCTGTACATCGGGTTTGGTGAAGTTGGTCACTCTGTGACGATTTTGGATCTGAGCCATGCGTCCTGAGAGAGGTGAACATAAACACCATAAAGAGCAGACACCACGACACATGACACTCGCGCCATCGTCACCGTTATGTGTAGTGCCGGGTCTGTGATTGGTTGGTGGGTGCAGTGGTTATGAGTGTGTGGCTCTCGATTAGAATGTGGGTTGAGCATAATTGATCAAAACCTTTCTAGTGGTTGACAATGAAGTACCACTCGGTGTGTAGAATCAACATGGATGTATTCACGCTGCCAGAGGAGTGTGATTATAGTATAGGGGTGCAATTATAATTATCTTTGGTGAAATGGGATGTCTTTATACACTTGTGGTGTAATGAATTGTTGGAGAAATACAATACTAAGGTACAAACGTAGAAATGTACACGTACGGAAATGGCATTATAACGCTTCTATCATTGATTCTACTAGAAAAATCTGGAATACAAATAAAAATAATTTCGTTTTATTTAGCGTCATTTATTTCAATTGCATCTCACAACGTTCATTCGTTTCTCAATCCACTTGTCCTGGTGAGGGTCACGTCGGCAGCATGTTGAGACCTCTCTTTCTCTGGCAACAGACTCTAGCTCTTCCTGGATAATTCCCAGGCGTTCCCAGGCCAGCCAAGCGACATAGTGCTGCCAGCGTGTCTTGGGTCGACCCCTGTGGTCTTTTCCCAGCAGGACATGCCCGGTTGAGTTCCAAGTGGAGTCTTACCAGGTGCCCGAACCACCTCAGCTGGCTTGTCTCGATCCAGAGGAGCATCAGCCAGACTCTGAGGCTCTCCCAGATTTCTGAGATCCTCACCTAATCACTGAGAGTGAACCCGGCAACCCTGCAGAGAAAACTAATTTCGTCCCCTTGTATCCACGATCGTAGATCTAGATGGAAACTGAGAGCTTTGTCTGGGAACTCAGCTCCTAATTCACTACCATGGAATGGTACAGTGCCTGCATCACTGCAGACACCGCACCGATCTGCCGGCCGATCTCCCACTCCCACTCGCAAAAAGACCCCATGGTACTTAAACTCCTCCACTAAGGGCAGCTATTCCACCCTCACACCCACAACACTGTACATTAATTTAATATGCCTACCAAATCCTACATACTGGCACTACCAATCAAATAAAAAAAAGATTAAACAAAAAATGTCACTGTTGTATATGTAGTGGATTCAACTGAGTCGCAAACGTACTTCTTGGAGGCAACACATGTTTATTATCACCAACACATAACAAAAACTGGTTACTGCCCCTTTACCAGATAACCTATTGTGGTGGACCACCAGGCTAACTACGCTTGTTACTGGGAGTAGCTACAATGGACAGGACCCTAGCTGGGGTCCTCGTCCACGTGTTGGTGACTTCTTCTTGGACGTAAAATGTAGATCAGAGATCTTCAGATGACAACAGCAACGCTGAACTCCGGTCCCTGTGCGGACCCGGTTTATATGCTCCTGGGTCGCGGCTGGCCCCGCCCTTGGCCACGACCATCTTCGAGAAACTTCTTGTCTTTTCTCGACCCTTCCTGTAGGATCTCACCCTGACACGTGACCACCCCCAAGCCCCCACCTGGGGCCCTTGTGTAGATCTTACTGGTCACGTGCCTTCCCGGGTCAACCAGAGTGCCATGGCCTCGGGTAACCTCATCCCATGGCTGACACTCATACTCCCTCCTGTTGGAGTCAGCACTACAAGCCACGCGTGGTGCCACTGCGCTATGCCAGCGCTTACCGAGCCCCCTCTAGGGCTGGTAGCACACCCACCTACGTGATGTCCGCGATGTGAGTACATCGCACGCCGTGCCCCTCTAGGGCCAGCACCACACAGTGACATCCGCGATGTCACTACATATATTGTTATAACAAAAATGAAATATTATTAAATAATAATAAAATAATACTAATATTTAAAATTATTGTACAATTTTGTTCATGTATGTAATTAAGTGTAATTAACTAAAAACACGTGTGTTAAGTATAATCACTTCAACAATTATGATTCTCGCTTTAACAATCATGATTCTCGCTTTAACAAGTATGTGTGTAATTATGTCAGGTCTCGGGATTTAGATCTCACCACAGGATACAGTTAATCATTATGACAATTATGCACGAATTTAGGAACGAAGCACGCGGAACCTGTTTTTTATTTAAGAAACTTTAATCTCACTGACTCTATCAACAATAATTCATAGCAACGACAATACCCATGCACATATACGTACTCATCAATCCGTATTAAATAACAAAAAACAAGTATTGGAAAATATTCACATTATGTGATAATAAACGATAGGCATATTCTAAAATAGCAATTTTCGTACGGAAAGCATGTCCGAAAATATGTGTATCAATTGGTTAGAAGTATCAACAGTCAGATCTCACGATCACGTGATGAAAGAATACTTGCAGGTTAACCCACAACAATAGTATCAATGTTAGTGTAACAAGAGAGTACACTGGCGGTCGCCAACCGGCTGGATAGGCTCCGCTGCATCAGCCATTAGCCAATCAGGTTGAGTGGGATCATCTGGGCCAAAGTTCAAGGGCGGAGCTCAAGGGTGCTCGAGGGGGACCATCGGGAAGGTTCTAAAAGGGGCGTGGCTAGAGGCGGGGCTTGGCTCTGCGTGAGAGGGTTATAAGGGGACCAGGAAGAGGCTCGAGGTCAGTGTGGGAAGTCTTGAAGTGGGACCACGTCTCGCGCCTTCGGAACGCCAGCGGCCACGTGGCGGTCCGGAGGTTGCCTCATTGCGCACCGCTAACTGGTGGCGCGCAGGAGCGGGAAGCATGAGCGAGCCCTGTGCGGGACAACACCAACTTACGCCGCGCAGCGAAGAACGTACAGTTATTACTTGGGAAGGAACGTGGAGCTGTCCAGCCAATAAAGAATTAAATAAAGAAGACGCAATTCAAAGTTCGTCGTCGAAGTGATTTATTACATTCGCATACGTGGTAAAAAAAAACGTATCCTTATCAAACGTTTAGAGGCATCAACAATCATTTTCAAGATTATAAGATTGAAAGGAACAAATAGCTAATATTTAAAAAAATATAGGATTCATGCAGGCATATGGGTTCAAAATTGAATGCTTATCAAATGGTTAGAAGAACATCAACGATCGAATTAAGATAATGCGATTAAAAGAAAACAAACCCGCGACTATCCAAAAATGATCATATTCATGCAGGTATGTGATTTGATAAATGTAATGCTTATCAAATAGTTCGAAGAACGTCAACGATTTAATTAGCAAGGTTATGCGATGTAAAGAAAAACAAACAGCTACTACCTAAAAATTAATACTCTTTGGTTCTTTCGGTAAAGTCACTTAGGTAGAAAAAAATATACATCACGATGTTTTGATTACAACACAAGCGTTCGTTCTCAGGCAGAAAAAAATAATCCAGCAGTGGAACTGCTAAAAAAGTAAGAGTACAGCGAGAGAGCTGTTACAACAAGTGGTTCTATATGTGGCGAAGGGCAAGAAGGCGGGGTCTGAGCTGGAAAGGAATTCCATCCCCGCATGCCAGCACGTCATTTGTGTTAATGGTGGAGATTAGGGAGAGAGATTAGCATGAAATGAGCTTCCGTCGCCGCTCAGACCCCGCCTGCTTGCCCTTCTTCACATATATAACCTGTTGTTGTAACAGTTCTCTTGCTGTGTTCTTACTGGTTCAGCAGTTTGACTGCTGGATTATTTTTTTCCGCCTGAGGACGACCGCTTGTGTTGCGATCGAAACGTCGTGATATATATATTATTTATTTTCATTTTTTTACCGACGTGACTTTACCGAAGGAACCAAAGAGTATGGATTCATGCAGTCACGAAAGCTTCAAATCAAGATTGAACCGCCTCTACGGTGAGGGTTTCCACACATCTGTTAGATCTTTTAACAGACTGCGAGACAAGAAAGCTCACCTGATCGAGTCGCTCACCTTTCTCAACAGATGCCGCGACAACAATGTAATACTGATCGCATTTACACTCACATGTGCTGCTGTGACTTCTCTTAACGCTAAATGGAATTTGTTCAAAGTTAGTCTATCGCTAATCTCAGAGAGGATAAGACAGCTCCGTTTTGAACTTGATAATTTAGACAAATGTCTCTTACAATCACACTTAGCATTAACAGATAAAATGTCCACATCTGATTGGAACCTTGGAGATAACATGACTGTTTCTTCTGCCACTACAATGTCAACCATATGCAAAGTTAACCTGATTGCTAAATTCAACATCCTGTCAAAAAATAAACCAGATCCACACATTAAAAATTTAGATGTTAACAAGATTGTCATCAATTAGAGTAACAGCCAATTCCTGATAGCCTAAAATCGGTACTAGCTAGAGGGCTGAATTTTACAGTCACCCCCAAACACATCCCAGTGGATGATATCATTGCCCAGCTTGAAGTAGCCCTCAAATGTGTGGGTCACATTCCAGCAGACGTGGAAATATCTGAAATCAACGCCATCCTCAAAAACGCTAAAAAAAAATCATTAGCAAACATCAGCAGGATCGACCGCTCTGAACTCACTCAATTGAAAACGAGATATGACATTGTCATCCTTTCAGCCGACAAGGGCAACGCCACGGTCATCATAGATTGCAATCATACCAAAATTAACAAATATCCTACCAACCGCCTGGCTACAAAAACCAACAATATCATCACTAATTCGAATTATCTAATCGAACGGACCAAGCAGTTCTCTCTAAAACCTTCGGCTGCTAGACCACCCAGATTTTATGGATTTCCAAAAATCCAACGAAGAAGGTACTCCACTACGTCTTTTCCAAAATCAACTCACTAAATCAACTCACCTACCTACAAACTGGCCCGATTTCTGTCTGAGACCCTGCTTCTATTCACGGGCAAGACCAACTCAGCAGTACTTAACTCAGCTCACTTGGTTTCTCTAATCAAGGACATTTCCATGTCTCCAGATTATTAGCTTGTCAGCTTCGATGTTGTCTCTCTGTTCACAAAGGTACCTGTAACTGACACCATAGCAATCCTGATGTACCAACTTGGTGAGGCACTGCCTTACCAACACTTACTTCATCTGGAAAGGTATATTCTACAAACAAAATGAAGGTACCCCTATGGGTTCTCCCTTATCACCAGTGGAAGCGAATGTTTTCATGGAGAAATTTGAAACAGATGCCATCCTGAAATCCACCCTACGTCCTTCCCTGTGGAAGAGATACGTAGATGACACTTTCGTCATCTGGCCACATGGCCAGCCAGCACTGAACCAATTTTTCAACCACATCAAAACCATACACGTGTAGTGACATAGAACGGTCACTACTGTGTCGGCCCGTACGAGGGCTGGGGGCCCCAAGGGGGTGCCTGGGGGGTCACGTAGTGGAGGGATCCGGACCTTCCCAGAGGTGGGGGAAGGGAGGCGTGGCCTGG